GGGATTCAGCTAATTACTCTCACTTTAAAAGAAATCAAATTTGGGTTAATTAATAAGATTGGAAATAATGAATATGCTATCAATAATTTGATTATACTTTGTATTAAACATTATGGTCATAAATGTTGTTTTTTCAAATGTAAACCTAATGTGAACCACTGGAAGAATGAGCTAAATATGCAAAATCTTTAAAATATGTAAATGAAAAAAATGCTGGCAAATTTCTTAGTTTCTTGGTTAATTTCAATTTCCTCATATAATGCCTTTTTTTAATCCTTCTTTATTTCTTTCATTTCCATTATGTTATGAATCACCTTTTGTAATTTTTGATTGTAAGAATTGATAATTTTTGTTTTGTATTGTTATGGTTAAATAAAGTTCAATTTAAAAAAAATATTTTTGGAACCCTTTTTGCAGGGATGGAGTGTGAAAACGAAAAAGCAGTGTTCTTAGTTTCCTCTGTAGTTGTGGTACACAACGAGCAGTCCTGAAGAAGAAAATAAAAATGATTTATTTGGAATTTTATTTATGAGTCAAAAAAAAAATACAGCTTGACTTTTAAATGAAAAAAGCGTTTCTGCTAATTAATTTTAATTTTCAAATTTGATATTTCAAAATGAATTTTGGTCACTTTTTACAGGGACATATTTTGAAAATTAAATGTTAAACGTTATTTTATTTATCATTTTAATTAATTTACACAATGAGCAGTCTTGAAGACGAAAATGAAAATACAGTTTGGATTATTCATTTTAAATTTTATTTACGAGTCAAAACATGCAGCTTTATTTTGAAACTAACAAGCATTTCTATTGATCCATTTTAATTTGATATATGAGACATACTTGTTTCCACAGCAGCCGTTGGATTGGGACATAGATATAAACACTAGATGCCTCATTGGCTGCTGCGGCGCAGAATTTTCGGCCGCCATCTTGGAACGGTCGTCCTTATTTGGTTAAAGCAGAAGATGTCTCAGCACTTCGCAGCTTATTTCTGTTCTAATCGACGGACTGTTCACGTCAGGTCACGGGGGATAACTTTTCACAGTAAGATGAACATATTATTGTTAGTATTTTGTGAATATAATATTACTGTACTGTATTTATGTCCACCAGCTGATGTGATGTTCAGTGTAACACAGTGTTCAGCTGCAATGAAGCTGACTGAGATCTGATGACAGGAATATTTTTCTAACAAGCATACTCACTATTTCAGTAGCTTTGGTTCATTATCAACAGATATGCATCAAAACTGGAGTTTTGTTTAAGTTGTTTTTGTATGTATGTTAGTTAAGTATGTTTTTGTGTAGACACAAATGTCCTGTTTTCATTTTGAAGGTTTCCCAAAGAACAAGATGTGAGGAAGAGGAGGAAGTATCTTTGAGGAGGATTCATCTGAGCAGTGAGGATTTTAAACTGGAGGATTCTGATCAAACTGATCAGACTGTCCGACTGAGAGATGGTGGGGGTTGAGTGCCTTGCTCAGGGGACCAGGGTGGGGCCAATGAGGGTGGAGGCAGGTGTGGGTGTTTCACCTTTTCCACCTCATTTTGATGTTGACGGTACCGGGAGTTGAACCTGCGACTTTCCGATCACAGGCCCATCTTATAACCTCTGCTCCCCCACATAACATCTTATCATAATGATCATATTAAAATCTCACTGGTTTCCTTCCAGATGTGTTAAACAGCTACTGGTCCCCCTGATGTTTCCAGGTGTGCTTCCCCCCTGCTTTTCTCCCTCTACACCAACTGCTGCACCTCCAGCCATGACTCTGTGAAACTTATTAAGTTTGCAGATGACACCACCCTCATCGGGCTCATCTCGGACGGTGATGAGCCTGCATACAGGAGGGAGGTGGACCGGCTGGTGACCTGGTGCAGCAGCAACAACCTGGAACTCAATGCCCAGAAGACAGTGGAGATGATTGTGGATTTCAGGAAAGCCACAGCCCCTCTGCCCCCCCCTCACCTGTAATGATACCCCCATCACCACTGCAAACTCTTATCGGTTCCTCGGAGCCAACCATCAGTTCCCTCATCAAGAAGGCCCAGCAGAGACTGTACTTCCTGCGACAGCTGAAGAAGGCCAAGCTGCCGGCCAAGCTGATGGTGCAGTTCTACACGGCCATCATGGAGTCCATCCTCAGCTCCTCCATCACGGTGTGGTACGCCGGGGCCACTGCCAGGGACAGACTCAGACTGCAGCGCGTTGTGCGCTCAGCTGAGAAGGTGATCGGCTGCAGCCTTCCATCCCTCCACGACCTGTACGTCTCCAGGACTGTGAGGCGAGCAGGTCGGATCACAGCTGACCCTGCTCACCCTGCACACGGACTGTTCGAACCACTCCCCTCAGGCAGGAGGCTTCGGTCCATTCGGACCAGAACCTCCCACCATAAGAACTGTTTCTTCCCCTCTGCTGTTGGACTCCTGAACACTCATAATGCTACCTCATAATTTCTGCTTTGGTCACATTACATCTGTTTTATAACTGAATACTCCATCTGTACTGTTCTCTAAGCTTTTTTATTGTTTCTATTGTATGGGTGTACATATGGTTATGTTATGTTTTTAATTTTACTTTATTTGTGGGTGTACACAGGTCTTATGTCTTATGTAATGTTCTCATTTTTACTTCATTTTTACTTTATTTTTACTTTATTTTACTTTATTACTATTCGCACCTTATGTCGAAGAAAATTCCTAGTTTGTGAACCTCGTTCATTGACATGGCAATAATAAACTGATTCTGATTCTGAGGTGTCTGTGGTCAGTGGATGAAAAGCCTGGCATGAACAAGATGATGCTGGAGATCATCATTTGACGAGAGCTCCCACCTTCTACCTGTGAAGAACAACAACAGCAGCTCAGTGATTCCCTCAAGGCTCAGTGAAGGTGCTGAGAGCTGCAGAGAGGCTGATCCATGGAGCTTCAACACAGCAACCTCCAAACATGGCCACCCTCACACACATCGTCCGTGAACACACTGGACCAGAGCACAAGATAAGAAGACACTGATAACAACAACAACAATACACATTCACTAATGATTCATACAAATTTTAATTGTTTGTTTGTTTTACTATTGAAAAACAGTTTGTTATCCACTGTTGTCATCACTCTTTGTTAAAATCCAGGTCTCTCTTGTAAATGAGTCCTTGTGGCTCAATGGGACTAACCTGTATCAATAAAGGTTGAATGAATATAAATATATACATAATGATTGATTCAACCTTTTATTTATACAGGTTGGCTTCATGGAGCCACAAGGAATAGTTTACAAGAGACCTGCTCCAGACACAACAGTAAACAATGGCAACGATAAACTAAAGTAAAAATGTCTAAAAAGTTAAATCTGGTCCTCTGGACATTCAAAAAAACAAAACAAAGCAAATCAACAAAAAAATGTAGAAACGTTTCGTCTCTCATCCGAGAGACTTCCTCAGTCTGAGGAGCTGTATTCAGCTCAGTCTCTTAAATAGCACCTTCTCAGAGTGGATCAACCAGTTTTGCTGCTGACAACCAAAACCAGCTGATCACATGCTCAAGAAGGACCATCAGCCTAACAATGGATCATTAGCACCTGATGGCTGTTTACTATTCACAGAGGGCTGAGTGATACTAGCAATCACAGCATTGTAAGAGGGGGACAGTTGAACCCGGAGGCCTCCACCCCTGTTTAATGATGGACGGTTTCTTTTCACACATTTCTTTTCTTGGATGAGAGACAAAACGTTTCTACATTTTTTTGTTGATTTGCTTTGTTTTGTTTTTTTTAATGTCCAGAGGACCAGATTTAACTTTTTTAGATTTTTCTACCTGGATTTTTGAGCATGCATCAGGATAC